TGACATCTCCACCTGATTGAACAAATCAGGTATTGCTACTGCTTCCATTTTCTCTCACTTTCTCTCTTGTTTTCTTTGATGATGAAAAAAATTTCTAGGCTATTTTATGCAATGCTGTTGGTTTCTGGTTTCTTGTGCAAGATTCATGCTTGGGTGTTCTTTATTATTATTTTGTGATGAGGTTTTTTTTATCATTATTTAATTCCAACTAGTTTCTGACCACATGTTTTGATTGTCTTTGATGACCACCTGTTTTGATCGTCTTTGATGAATTGTATATCAGGATATCCTAGATGAACAAAAAATTTATAAGTGAATTATGAAGTTACTAGTTTGTTTCAAAAAATTTTAAAAGAAAATATCAAATAAACGAAAAATGTAAGGATTAATTAGGTGCATGAATATCTTCATCCAAACAGGGCTTTAGGGAGTATGGTACGAAGTAGGTAGGTGCATTGGTTAAGCAACTTAGTATTTAGATATTTTATTAAACAACTTATATAAATATAAGATTTATAAATCTCATACTCATATAAACTTTTAATAAAATATTTAAAATATATATGTTTTATATTTATATAAATAAAAACGTTGGAATCTCTAGTATTTTTTACACAAACATCAAACTCTCTCTCTCTCAGATTACTCTCAACTTGATTACTTGGGAGGAACAAACTATCACTAAGTTGATATTAAAAAAATTTACTTTTTATAATGGCATAAATAGTTTAGAAATGATTTTTTAGAAATTCTTTTTAGTTTAAAAATTACAATAAAATATTAAATAGAATAAAAACAAATTTCTTAAAAAATAAAAGTATTTGAATAAAAAAAGGTAAGAAGAAAATTTAATATGGTATTGTGCATTCCTAAACGGAATAGGTTAATAGTACACATGATGTGTTTTATGACATAAACAAATTAAAAAAACTTGATCTTTCATTTGTGATCAAACATGGACAAGAGTTGGATTGCATTGGGTAAGACACCTGATGGAAGGATGAGTCAGCCATTTATTGATGGGGTGACATCATTTATTAAATTTGCAATGGCAGTTGTTGACCAAGAAGGTAAAAGTTCGTGCCCATGTTTGAACTATGTGAACTATTATTCCCAAAATCTTCAAAATGTGCAAATTCATTTGCTTCAATATGGGATTATGCAAACGTACACCATTTGGTATGAGCACGGGGAACCACGTGTATCAAATGAGGCTCGCCATGAAATGGCAATTGATGAAGATGAGGTTTTAGGTGGTATTGATGCCTTAGTGGAAGATCGAGTAAGAGGAGAACCCAACGATGCACCCCAAAATGAGGAAGTACAAATGTTTGATAAACTATTAAATGATGCCAAACATGAGGTGTACTCAGGTTGCACAAACTACACTCTGTTGAAGTTTGTCATCGCGTTGCTTAATATGAAGGTAACAAACAACTGGAGCAATAAGTCGGTTGACACACTATTGGAGTTTTTAACAAAACTTTTACCAAAAGATAATTTGGTTCCAAAGTCATTTTATGAAGCTAAGAAAATACTTCGTGATTTGGGCTTGTCATATGAGTTAATTGATGCTTGTATAAATGATTGTGTACTCTTTTGGAAGGAAAATGCAAGGTTTGATTAATGTCCAAAATGTAAAGCATCTAGATACAAGATCAATCGTGGCAAGGGTAAGAAGATTCCCCATAAGGTGTTGCGGTACTTCCATTGACACCAAGGTTGAAAAGATTGTACATGTCAAGGAAGAATGCTGAGGACATGAGATGGCACAAGGACAAGCGTATAGATGACGGAGTATTGAGGCATCCCGCCAATAGTGATGAGTGGAAGGAATTTGATGCGCAGCATCCTCAGTTTGCCCTAGAGCCTCGAAATGTGAGGCTGGGGTTGGCTGTTGATGGGTTCAATCCTTTTGGGAACATGAGCAACTCATATAGTTTGTGGCCTGTAGTACTCATTCCTTATAACTTGCCACCTTGGTTGGTTATGAAAGATCCCTTTCTTATGATGTCATTACTTATTCTTGGAGAATCACAACCAGGGATCGATATTGATGTCTATATGAGACCTCTGGTGGATGAGTTGTGGGAAAATGGTGCATTATCTTATGATGTCGTAACTGGTGAGTCTTTCCAGATGCGTGCAGCTTTGATGTGGACTATACATGATTGGCCTGCATTTGGTGGCATATCTGGGTGGAGAACAAAGGGTCATTATTCTTGTTACACTTGCAATGATGAACCATATTTTCAATCCTTGAAAGGTAAGACTGCATACACTAACCATCGATGCTACTTGCCTCAAAACCACCCCGAAAGGCGAAAGAGTAAGGCTTACAATGGTAAGCATGAGAAGCGAAAGAGATCTTTAGAGTTACCAGTGGAAAAGATATTAGAGCAATTGGATAGAGTGATAGGTGTCACATATGGGAAGCATCCAAGAAACAAGAAAAGACTCCGTCAGGCACCAAATTGGACAAAGGTAAGCATCTTGTATGAGTTACCATACTGGAAGAAACGGAAGCTTTGACACAACATTGATGTCATGCATGTCGAGAAAAATTTTAGTGAAAATACCTTTGGAACTATGTTAGGCATTGATGGAAAGAACAAAGACACCGACAAAGCACGAATGGACTTGGAAGATATGGGCATAAGGAAAGAGTTGTGGTTAACACGTCGTCCTGATGGAACTTATGTCAAACCTAGGGCAATCTTTTCATTGACCCCTGAAGAGAGGGAGGGTTTCTTTGAATTCTTGAAATCAGTGAAGTATCCAGATGGTTATGCTGCAAACATATTAAGATCAGTGAATGGGAGAAATGGTAAATTAGCAGGCTTGAAAAGTCATGACTGCCATGTACTCATACAACGGATTCTTCCAATTGGGATGCGTGGTTACGTAGACAAAGAGATTAGTAAAACACTATTTGAGTTAGGTAGCTTTTTCCAGGATTTGTGCTCAAGGACACTGCGCCGTAATGAACTTGAGAAATTAGAGGAACGTATAGTACACATATTATGCAAGCTTGAAAAGATCTTTCCTCCAGCCTTCTTTGATGTGATGGTTCACTTGGCCGTTCACTTGCCGCGTGAGGCTATTCTTGGAGGACTAGTGCAATATCGATGGATGTACCGGATTGAAAGGTAATTGTTAAATTGAAAGGTTCGTAATTATATGTTGCATGTGTAACCTTGCTCTTAACTAATTCTATTTTCAAGGTTTCTTGGAGCTTTAAAAAAGTTTGTTAGAAACCGAGCTCGACCAAAAGGTTCAATTGCAGAGGCTTACATTGTCAAAGAGTGCATTACTTTTTGTTCAATGTATGTTGATGGGATCGAAACAGTGCATAATCGACCCGAACGAAATCAAGATCGTGGCAAACGTCGCAAAGGGTTGACTGTATTCACAGAAACTGCCCGTCCTATTGGCCTAATCACAAGGGATGCTGATATGTCACAAAAATATCGTGACATAGCTCATTGGTTCTTGTTGAACAATAGCCCCGAGATAGAGAAGTATCTAGAGTATGTTTTTCATTTAAATATGTGTATTCTTAGCTTTGTTAATATAGTTAGCAGTGCATAATAATCACATTCTTTTGAGTAGGATATACAAAAATCTATTACGGACTCCATCTGACCAAGACATAACCCGTATACAACAAGAGTTTCCCAAGTGGTTCAAAGAGCGGGTAAGGCATTTTCAATTTTAAGACATGATTAAAAATTTGTATAAGATTTGATCATTTATTAATTTATTTTTACTATCTTGATGTACGTTATATGTGATTGTAGATAAATATATTGAGAGAAGAAAAGTCACCAGAGGCAACCAATGATTTATGGTCGTTAGCAAATGGCCCGAATTTGCTAGTAAAAAAGTACTCGCGTTGCATAATCAATGGCGTACGGTTTCGTACAAGAGAAGTAGACAATCGCCGTAAGAGTCAGAATAGTGGTGTGCTTACGGAAGGGGATCATGAGGGAGTGACACATGAATTTTATGGTCACTTGTGCAATGTTTGGGAATCAGAGTACATGTGTCATAACAAAGTTGTATTGTTCCAGTGTGAATGGTACAACGCAGGAAACACAGGTCGAAGTAGAACATTGTGAACCGATGATTATTGCATAAGTATTGATGTCACAAGTCGGTGGTATCAACACGATCCTTTCATCTTGCCTAGCCAAGCTAAGTAAGTCTTTTACCTAAATGATACCAAATGGGGACAACCTTGGCAAGTTGTTCAACGAGTGCAACATAGGGGTGTCTTTGATGTACCAGAGGTAGGTGATGGAGAATCATTAGATGAACCAGAAGAAAACAATGTGTTCCAACAAGAAAATATTACCGATGTTGTTCCAATTGACATCGACCCTAATGTTCAATGTTATAGAGATGGTGTTGAAGCAGAAGTTGTTACAAGGGTTAGGTCATCTGATGAAACAATGATGGGGAATAGAGCTAACAAACAAAATGAAGAGTGTGACGAACCTGATGTGGATTACGATATGGATCTTGATGTAGACTAGGATTTGTAGTAATTTTGCACTTTCTATGTAAACATTGTTCTTAATTAATGTAGTTGAATTTCAATTGTGGGGTTCATCCACTGTTGTGTAGGTTTATCGTTGATTGGTCATGTTATGTGTCTGATGGTTTTATAATTAATTTGTTCTATGATAAGTAAATGGTAAAAACAAAAATCATCCATCTCACTCTAGCCATATTTCAATGATTTAGAGCCTATATGACATATCCACTTGTTGAGATTGTTTTTGCTTTATGCTTTATGTATAGAAATATATAATTATCTTTTCTTTACATCTAATGTTCAATTATGCATATCCACCAAAAAAATGTTCAATTATGCTTTATAGTTGGGCAAAATGGACGCTACAAAAAAACAATTGACCAAACCAAGTACCGCAACTAAGAAGGTAACGAATTATGAGAAACAAAGAATAAAGAATATTAATAAAAACCGTGAGAGAATGAATGCTCTAGGAGTGAAGAATATAACAACTTGTTTGAAGGCTACGGTTCAACATAAGAAATTGAGGAAGGAAAAACAAATACCAATTGAGGAAAATGACGATGATTATCGACCGTCAGAGGCTGAAGATGGCAATGACACTGAATCCTATGATTCGTTTGAGCATGAGGTACTATACATTTATGCATTGTGAAATATATTCTTTCTTGTTACTTTCAATTCATACACACATAGACATGTATATCTTTCTACATATATTCATATTTTATTATGTTATTCAGCTGTTAGAGATACCATTGGGAGCTCGTTCACAATCTCATCATGAGGCATTGACCCACGCATCAGAAGAGGGGCTTCACAATATCAGTTGCTAAGCGTGTTCGTGGCCCGACTCGAGGCAAAGAGGTTCAAGGCCTTGTTGATAAAGATGGAAAGTTTAGCGTGCCTATCCCTCCAGAATTTTGTGCACCGATAGGGGACTATGCCTCAAAACTAGCCTCAAAGATTGGTGTAGAAGTGCGAACTCATTTACTAGATCCAAGTGTTCGTAGGTGGAAGTATGTTGATGCCTCCGTTAAGGAGGCGATGTTTCAATGCTTGAATGTAAGTTAGTTGTCTACTCTATTATAGGACATTTTACTCATTTTTATAATAGGTTAGAAATCTTAATTATTTATTGTAATTATTTTATTTTTTATAAGAATTATCTATGACTTATCTATTTTTTGCAGGATCAATTTGATTTACAAGGAGACCCTGTTGATATAGAGAAGGCAATGAACACAAAATTTGGTCGGAGATTGAGTAACCATACCTATAGGCTGCACAAACAATTCATGGAGTTGAAGGAGGCTAAAGGGGAGGAGTATGCAAGAAACCACCCACCGAAGAATGTTGATCTTACCAAGTGAATAGATCTTCTTGATAAAAAGTGGAACACAAAAGAATTTCTGGTAACATTTTCATCTTTTCTTTTTTCACCCAGAAAAACCATCTTATGATGAAATCTCAACAAGTACTCTAATCTATTTTTCAAAGAATTGAATGAAACTAGTGAATAATTTGAAATATCTTTTAAGTTGAAATGATATATAGGAAAATGATAGAGAGGAACAATGCAATTTCTTTATTATCAAGCATTAAATTTGTTTTACTAGTGATACATTTCATTGTTATATTGGTTCATTATTCCTTACAAGAACAATCAAAAGCCAACATATTTGTCTTACTAATGATACATTTCATTGCTATATTGGTCATTCTTCTTCATAGGAACAATCAAAGGCCAACATCGCGAACAGAAAAAGGATGTATACAAAACATAGATGTGGTTCTAGGTCAATCCCTGTTAGAGTAGAAAAACTGGTACGTACCCTTGCACTTTCAGAATTATATTAGATTCTTAGCTTTATTTATTGAATATTTGGCCTATCGAATTAGGCACGAGAAAAGAAGATGCTACCTGATCTAGCAGAGTTGTACAAGGAAACTCACTATAATGAGAAAACACATGAGTGGATCTCATCTCAAGCTCAGTGTAATTATGTCAGTATATATTGCAATTTTTATTAACAAAATTTTATAATACTATTTGTTATGATCTTATTTAATTTTCTAAAAATTATTTAATTTTTTTTATATTTGATAGGAAAATATGATACAGACACAGGCTGATCACCTCTCACAGCCGGGATCAATCCCTTTGACTGCAGAAGAGCTGTCAATTAAAGTCCTAAAGCCAAGGTCTGGCTATGTGAAGGGACTTGGCATGAGACCTTCATCCTCTATTAGGAGGACCACTACCATATATGCTGAAACAAATGATTATGTGAAGCATCTTGAGATGCAAATAGAGACACAGAAGGAACAAATACAAATGCAGAACAATAAAATAGAAGATCTTGAAGAGGGTAAGAAGAAGCAGGGGGAGATAATGGCTGATGTTGTCAACTTTTTGAGGACCAAAGGATTCACTGGACACTTTGGAAGTGGAAGGGACTCATCCACAAGTGGACATACTTCTTGGTAAAGTATATTAACTTTAATATAACAAATTTTATAAAAGAATATATGTTTGAAGAATTAGGAAGTAATGGAAACATGCATATGACATCCAATTTGTACAGGTGCACGGGATGTATAAATTGTGAATTAGTCTAAAAAATATTTTTTTTCTCTATACTTAAAGCTTCAAAAAAGGCCGTCGAAATGCTAAATTATCACACAACTACAGATTTATACAGGAACCAATAGAAACACCTTAGGAGGGACCAATATAAGTTGTATGAACTTACAGCACATTAATGGGATACATCATTTGTGAATTAGCCTTAAAATTAATTTTTTGTTCTCATAATCTCGAAAAAAGTCTGCTAGAGGGATAAATTGTATAAAAATTGATGAGTTACTAATATTTTTAATCTTTTGTATAATTGATTAATTACTAAAGCTTTTAATTTATTTTTTTGCAGATTGGATTGGGGTGGCATTTTTGACATGCAACAATGATATAATTTGCTTAAATGTTCATTTTTGTTTGATAAGGATACACGTACTTTGTGGAGTTGCACTAGTTATTGTTGGATGTTTGGTGGAATTGAACAAGTTATAACTTTTGTTTTTTTTTTTTTTTTTTTTTTTTTTGTGGATATTTCACTATTTTATTGTATTAGGATGAAATTATTTGTAATGATGAATGGATATTTTCATTTTGTTAATTTGTAAATGTGTTGATAACAGGTTAGGTTAAGTTGTGATGGAATTGTTATATATAGAATTTAGATTTTCATAGGTATAAGATGTGGAAAAAAGTATTATGGAATTATTGACAAAATTTTCCATCCCTAAAGAAGGTTTTTTTGTCTCTTATTTGGCTTAGGTGGATGACTAATTTTGTCATGAATTCTTCATTTCGTCGCTAAATGAATTTGTCATGACAAAAAATATTGTCACATTTTGTCATTATTACCCTCAATGTGTGACGAATTTTTTTTGACATTATTTCATCATTTTTAATGATGAATTTGTTTTTGTCTCTATTGGTAGCTTCTTTGACAAAAAATTTTCGTCTTCGTTTATATTAAACATGACAAAATTATTTCGTCTCTATTTCTTATATTTATGACAAAATACTTTTGTCTCTAATTTCTTCCTTTAATGACAAAATATTTTGTCGCTAATTACTTACAAGTATGTTCCCAGCAGAGTGTATTGGAGACAAAAAAATTCGTCACAAATTTATCATTTTTAATGATGAATTTGTTTTTGTCTTTATTGGTAGCTTCTTTGGCAAAAAATTTTCGTCTTCGTTTATATTAAACGTGACAAAATTATTTCGTCTCTATTTCTTATATTTATGAAAAAATACTTTTGTCTCTAATTTCTTCCTTTAATGACAAAATATTTTGTCGCTAATTACTTACAAGTATGTTCCCAACAAAGTGTATTGGAGACAAAAAAATTCGTCACAAATTTATCATTTTAAATGATGAATTTGTTTTTGTCTCCATTGGTAGCTTCTTTGACAAAAAAAATTCGTCTTTGTTTATATTAAACGTGACAAAATTATTTTGTCTCTATTTCTTATATTTATGACAAAATACTTTTGTCTCTAATTTCTTCCTTTAATGACAAAATATTTTGTCGCTAATTACTTACAAGTATGTTCCCAACAAAGCGTATTGGAGACAAAAAAATTCGTCACAAATTTATCATTTTCAATGACGAAATTGTTTTTTCGTCTCTAAGACCCTTTAGCGACGAGGCTTTGGCGACAAAATGGGTGACGAAAAATTTTCATCGTAACTAGTTTGGGTGACGAAATATACACATTTTGGGAAAAATTTGTTTCGTCTTTAAATCCCAAATTTGTTGTAGTGAAACAGGTCAAATGAAGCAATCCATTTTTTTTCACCTTGGGCCGCACGTGCGGCTGTGAGCCCCGCACATGCGGCAGTGATGCCCTGCACGTGCTTTTTAGACAGTGTTCAAAACCCAAAATTGCACCACTTCCCTGCACGTACGGCCATGACTCCCGCACGTGCGGCGATTCTACCCAAAAACAGTCTGAAAATTCATACAAAATCCCATTTTTTGGTAAGTGTTTATGAGGCTCCAAATTGGTTCAAAACTTATGTTAATAGGATTACAACACATACCAATCTAACTTTAAACTAGATCTTCAACCCTTACAGCTCATAAACATAATTCAATTCATGAGATTGATAACATATACCTTCATGGCCATGTTCATATATTTTTGTTCAAGCATGCCAAGGAGAAATGAAGTGTAATTTTCTTTACATGGTTCAAATTACATAAACAATAACATGATGAAAGACACTTATTCAACTCTTTAGGTGCCATAACACACACGCACACCAACACAAGCATTAATTGCATGAATACACAAAGAATCTCCTCATCCATATGCAAGAAAGAAGTTAATCAAAGTAAACCTCCATACCTTGAGCTTCACAATCTCTAACACTCTCTTTTAATTCTTCAATCTCTTCCTTGTAGGTCTTCTCCTCCTTTCCCTAATTCTCTTCCTAACCTTCTCAGGATATTGGGTTCCTTGATTCTAAGTCAAAAGTCTAGGGAACCATATATATATATAAAAGTGAATGAGGACAAAATTCAATCGATTTAATTATTCCAAATCAAATTTCTACGGAAGTGACTATTATTACTTAAAAATTATGCTGATTTCAAATGTAAAATCAATTTCAGATTATCAAGCCTCTAGGACCCTCAATTTCTGAGTCAAACATTCTAATGGTGACAGATAACTTTCTTACCAAACAAATATCGATTCCAAATCACAAGACCCATGTACTTAAACTTAATTCCTCATAAAATTTCACAATAAACATTTAAATGCACAGAACATGGGACTAAAAATATACCAGTAACAGATATGAGGGTCGGGTTATTACACTTACACACCCTCATGAGCTTAAAGTAAGCTCAAAAGTATCTCAGCTCAAAGACCACAAGGTTTGGTTTAGAGTGTATAGGCAAAGGTTCAAGAATTTACAAGAGAGAGAGAGAGAGCATTGTAGAGAGAGAAAATATTTTTCTCTCAAATTTTTTGACCCTCAAAAATGGAAGGGGAGGTCTTTTGTTTATAGAAAAACATGCAACTCCTTCAGAAACATCCATACATACACGTGTGGGCAGATGCATGAACCTGTGGAAACAGCTAGCACAATTGGCATAAATATCTGCCAAAACACACGTGTGGTCGGTAGGCCACTAATGTTGGCCGGTAGGCCACACAAGTGGTCGGCAACCCATAAAAGGGGGCCAGCAGGTCCCAAATTTTTTAGGCTTGAAAAACTGTGGTTTTGGTCCAAAATTGTGGTTTTGGTCCAAAACAAGGCACAAGGTATGTAGGGTTTGAAGGCTCAAAGTTGTGGCATTCTGCTAAGGACTTCGAGCACTTGACATGCATATACAAATTCATCATTGGGTGTGCAAGCATGGTGCCCAATTCGTAACGGCGGTCAAAAATGGGTGTTTATAGTTGTCCCTTTTTGACAAAACTCAAAGTCATAGAATGACGTGAGTAAACGTCAAAGCTCAAAGACGACCCATTTTGACAAGGCCGTAAGACTTGGGCAAACAAACAAAATGTAAATGCAATTGGTTAAACCCGATGGTTGCCTACGTGTCCCATTGCAAGGAATCAAACCAGCGTAGTTCAGGGGTAGGATGCAAAACGATACATAATGCAATGCAATAGTACAAAATAATCAAACCATAAACAGTGCTTACTACACAAATACCATAAAGGGATGGAGAAAATCAAACTACGTTTTATATAGAAAAGAAGTGGGCACAGCCAAACGACGCCTAACACAGGCTAAGTGCCTACATCCTCAATATTGCCCTCAGCACAACATGGATACTTACACATAATAGAACCGTGTTTTAACATGAAAGGGGTGCGAGCACATGCAAGACTATGTTTTTTGTAGAAAGAGAAAGAGTACGAATAATTGGGTAGTATGATATAAGTGAGGAATGATCTGCTGGGGAAAGATAATGATCCTAAATGCTGAATGGAACAAGACAAAGTATGATGCAATGGATGTTGCAAATAAGGCGTAGGCCGAACCACATATTACCTAGAAAAAGCTTGCACGCAAAACAAACCACATCTAACACAGAAAAGGTGTTGACACCCTCAATACTGGCCTCAGCACAGCATGGGTATTTATACATGACGGAACCATGTTTCAATGAAGGAAATGTATGAGCACATGCCAAACTAAGCTTAACATGGAAAAGGTGCATGACGTAATGCGATAGATGCTATATGTAATGTAATAGAAGTAATAAATAATAAAATGCGATATAGTAGCTAGGAAGTGAAAGTACCTTTACAAGGGCAATCGGCGATGACTCACCTTAGGCTGCTGGGGATTTTTTGCTTCTTCTCAGTTTTAAGACTTCTTCCTTTATCTTGCACTTCCAAATTATGGGTACTACTTTTATCCCTGGCTATGTTCGCAACTTTCCCTATTCTTCAACAGGGTGACGGACTAGGTTGGTTCAGTATCCAGAATTAAGACGTATACAAGCTACCTCAACCTATGGGGCTGCCATACAAATTTCAAGCCAAGGATACACCCCTGGGTATTTAAACCAAACTTTAGTCTCGAAAATCCCAAACCTTTTCATTCTAGGCCTCAGCCATTCAAACTCTAGTTTCTACCGTCTCAATTGATCTCCTAGGAACTCACTACAGGCACAGTCAAGTGGCTATACCAAACCACCGGAAGTCGTTCAGGCACGACACACACCAAAGAAATTGCACCTTTAGACGATTTAAGGTCTCCTAAACCCCGTGAGTGCACAAGACAGTGCGGGTGAGGGTGAATGAATGCACAAAACAGTACTATATGAGTGTAGAAGACAGTGCGATGCAAGGTGCACAAAATAGTACAATACAAAGATGGATGCACAAAACAGTGCGATGCAGGGTGAATGCGCAAAACAGTGCGATGCAAGTTTGCACAAGAC